TCTTCCATGGAAAGTTATACATTTTTTACACAATTTTTCTCTTGATATCCCTCTTAATCTTAATTCGCTTTCGGCGCCGCAGGCAAAAATTTTGAGAATTTTGGATGTTCTTATGACAGATTTCTTCCATTTTTGCTCCGCAGCCGAAAATTTTCAGAAAATTTTAAGGCCATGCAGCCAGAAAAGGCCATGCAGCCAGATGGCCTTTGGCTGCATGGCTTTTTAAGGCCATGCAGCCAGAAAACTAATATCTTCATTACAATATTTAGTTTTACAAGTTTTGCAAAATTTGCCTGTGTTAGATGGGCATTTACCACAACCTTGTTCTACTATAATAAAATTACTTTTGAATTATTAATTATTAAAAATATTTCCATACGTTTTCCATTTCCATGCCTGTAAACAAAACATTCTTGATCACAATATATACCAACATTATTAACTACTTTTCGTTTATTCAGGCAAAACAAAGCTTTGTCGAATAATTCTTTTGTATTGCAATTTTTTGTGTTGCATTCAACACATTCTGAATCCACTATAGGGCATTTTCCGCAGCCGACATTTTGACTACCTTGGTTTAAAAAATTCTATTTTTGTTAAAATAAATGGCTAAGAAGTAGAGCTGTTTTTTAGAATTTAGATTTTTGAAGTTTATAGGGATTATAATTTTTTGACTAAAAGAGTAGAATTCAGAATTTTAGGTCACAGATTTCGCTGTGACGATAAAAAAGCAGGAACTAGACTTTGAAATGTCCATGAAAGGAAGGAAAATTATCCAGTTCAATTTCCGAGTTTCGGGTTTTTTAATTTTCTTTTTGATTTCGATTTTGAATTTAAAAATATTTTTGGTTTTCTTGACAAATATCAAAAACTTGCTTGCTTCTTCATTAAATACCTATTACTCATTTTTATATTTTTCATTATACCTTTAGCATCAATGTAAATGTAACAAATTTTGGTTCCGCATACATTTCCAAGCTTTATATTCCCGTTATTATCTCTTATATAACAATAAAATGCTTCTTTGAATTTATCTACTGTATTGCAGTTTTTCCCTTCGCAATCATAACAGTGCTTATTTGGATCACATTTGCCACAGCCACCCCGGAATCTACCTTTAATTTTACGCTTGAACTTTTATTTTTTATTATGTATTTTTTCTTTATCCACAAAAATTACTAAGACAGATCAAGTTTAAATTATTTTGGGCGTGAACAAATAATGTTTAAAAGTAAATCGAGTTTAAATTAGAGTTGATCGAGGTCGAGGCCTCGCCGAAACCGGGTCCTCACCCATTTTCAAACCTCGATTAAGATTTTGCTGACCTCGATTTCGAAACCGAGTTCCTCGACAATAAACCTCGCCGAGGACCGATTATAATTATACACCCCTAAATATGACTTTTTTGGAATAAATTGATTCTCGTTCCTCGACCTCGGCCCAAATCTCACCCTCGACCTCGATCGGTGCATTTCAGCCTCGTTGATCCTCGTATCGGGTTTTTTTAAATCTCGACTTCGACCAACTCTAGCTTAAATCTAAATTCATTTTAACTAAAAATTTCTTAGCATACTCAATACCAAGTTTGAGTACACACTGTTATGTCTTCCATCAAAATATTTATAGAAAAAACATCAAATTTAGAATATCTTAGAGTGAAGTATTACATAGTTAACGTAAGCTTACTCAAATTTTAAAAAATACATATCTAAAAATATTTTAAAAAATATCTAAAATACCGTATTTTTCCAAATACAGCCCCATGGGGCTGTATTTTTCAACTATCCTCCAGACAGGGGCTGTATTAGAAAATGGGGCTCTAGAAGAGAATAGGGCTCTATATTTCAACTATATTTTTTTATTTTTTTCTACCAAGACCTTTAATTCCTCCTAACTCTGTGTCAACACAATCAAGGGTTTGGAGAGTTTTATGAAATATAGAGAGAGTGGATGAAGCTTTTAGAGGGATTTGGGAAATAACTTGAGGATTTAAGTGGATTCCGTGGATTTGCAAAGATGTCGTTGAATTGCTTTTAATATCAGGGAATTTTTGGAGTTGGAGGGATTGTGTGGAATATTAAGTCTTTAAGGGATATCAGAGGATTTAAAAAATTAAGTCGATATCGTGTTTACACATAAATCCTTGATATCGTTAGATATCTCGAGATAATCCTTTTAATCTTTCGATACCCCTTTTAATGCAGTTGTCTAAAAATACAAGAGTCGAATAGTAATTTGATTAAGAGAATATCGTAGGGCATAAGATGATATTTCGGTGACAGATATTAGTGATATCTATTAATCCCTTGCGTTTTTCTCAATATCTCCCTGATAAGTCAAATTTTTAACCATATCAAGTAATTTCGAGATTCATAATCCTTTCCGACACTCCCTTTCCGCTCTATGGTATCGTATTAGTGTGTAGGTATATAGGAGGTTTAAGGGGATACTGGGGGAATTTTGAGGGAATTTGAAGGGATATCTGTGGATTTTGAGGGATTAAGAGGACTTTCAAGTCCGACCAAGAATTAAAAATGAAATTTGTTTGATCAAAATAGTTTGTTGATCAGGAAGCTTTCAGGATGACTCAATTTAGTATTTACTTAGATTAACAATAGTGGGGCTGTATTAGGGAGTGGGGTTCTAATAGGGAATGGGGCTCTATTTTTCAACCATCCTCCAGACTGTCCAGACTGGGGCTGTATTAGAGAATGGGCTCTAATTGAAAATGGGGCTTTATTTGGAAAAATACGGTATCTTTGAAGAGAAAAGGGGTTAACAAATTTCGCGAGTTTTCAAAAAATATGTATTTGTTTTAATGTGATTTAAAAAAGACAGTTTATATTGAAGAATCAGGAAAAACAGTTATCAAAAACCCTCTTCTTTTCAGATGGCAACAAACCTTCCTTTCCTTCCCATTTTGTAATAAAACATTTATCATTACTCTTACAAGCTGCCCAGGCTCCAGGGATATCATGGTCGGCCAAACCGTGTCCGGTAGTCTCGTCAGAGGTTAGTTTCGTTAGAGAACATTTTCGTCAGAATTAGTTTCGTCAGATGTCCCTCTCGTCAGAGGACATTTTCGTCAGAGGGTTGTTTCGTCAGTGATGAGTTTCGTCAGAGGTCCTTTTCGTCAGTAAGGCTCCCTTTTTAAAATTCTAATTAACCTGCGGTATTATGAAATGTATTAGGTTATTTATTTCTGGATCGATTTGGGCGAATGAGGTGCCATTCGAAAGGACTCTGAAAAGCTGATTTTTGAGCTGAAAAATTCGAGTTAACAAATGATAACTCATTTAGATAAGAACGTCGAGCTGACTCCAGCTCGACGAGCTGAACCTTCCTATGGTTTATTAGGATTTAGGAGTCTGTAACTCGGTCTCTAAATGTTGGATCAACTTCTTCCACAACTGCTTCGACTCAGTTTTTAGAGCTCTTTCGAATGACGCCTCATTTGTCAAAATCGATCCAAAACAAATAACCTAGTACATTTCATAATACCGCAGGTTAATTAGAATTTTAAAAAGGGAGCCTTACTGACAAAAAAGGTCTCTGACGAAACTCATCTCTGACGAAACAACCCTCTGACGAAACTGTTCTCTGACGAAAAAGGCCTCTGACGAAACTGATTCTGACGAAAATGTTCTCTGACGAAACTAACCTCTGACGAGACTACAGAGCACCGTTTTTATACGTTTGATATGAAATTTTTTTATTAAAATAATGTAGACATAAAAATTTTGTGCATATGGAAAGCAGAGCAGTTTTTTCATCTTCAATACTTGCGTAAATATTCATTTTTTTTTTTAAAAAACAGCTCTACTTCTTTGACTTCATTATTATTTGGATAATTTTTTTTTATTCTATATAACCTTAGTTTCTTAGAGTATAGGTCCCTTATTCGTTGTGGATAAGAGTTTCTTATTATTTTATTTAATGGTTTATTTGGTATGAAGTTATTATATATTTCTAATAATTCATTTATAAATGTTAAATATTTTTGATTTACATCATATTTATTGGAAATATGACGCTTAATCTGACTTTGTATTAGCATATGGTTTAGCTTTACAAAGTTTTTATTTTGGAAATCTCTTTTGTATATTTTGGTTAGCTTAGTCCTTACTATCTTTGTTAGTATATTAAATTTAACTATTTTATGGTCTGATGTTGAAAAATTTTCAAAAACTTCAACTTCTTGAACAATTTTAGCATTGTTAGAGAGAATTATATCTAAAATTGAGTTTTCCCTAGTGGGTTCTCTAACAAACTGTTTTAGCTGTTTTTTGTCTATGAATTCTAGCATTAAGTTTGCTACGGGATCATTTAAATCTGATAGCTTATTTTCTTGCCAATCAATATGTCTTATATTAAAATCCCCACAATAAATTAAATTATCTGATTCTGTTAGATTAGAAAGATGTTTAAGTAACTTTTTTGTATTTTTTAATAAACAATTTGGAGGCCTGTATAAGTTAATTAAATGGATTGGTTTTATTCCTGTTAGAATCTTGATATGATTAAGTTCACATTGGAATTTTGTCCCTAAGAATATCTCTTTAAAACTAATTTCTTTCTTAATTAAAATTAAAGCGCCGCCTCCCCTACCAATAGTTCTATTGGCTAATACTAACTGATATTTGCCCATGATTGTGAGCTCGGAACAAATCGTATTATTGGTATTTAGCCATGTCTCATTTATGATAAGTATGTCGGGCGTGTGCTTATTAACTAAGAATTCTAAATCAGCAATTTTGTTTAATATAGACCTCGCATTAATAAGTATACAAGAAATTCGTGGAATTATATCAATATTCATTTGTTTATTTATTTTAGTTAGTTTGCTCGGAGATCCCTATGCATGAGTTTTGAATGGTTTTGGGTTAGGCAATTCCTTAATTGAAAGGTCATTTACAACATATTTATATTGGCCACATTTCTGGTTTTCGGCATATGCCTTAGAACGCAAATTATATAAAATGGACAATTCAGACATAGTCATGTCCCGTCTGGCACTGATGAATTTTGGAATATTTGGTAAATTTTTTAGTGCCTTACGGTACGTTTTTAAAAAAGTATTTCGGGCCTTAACTGTGCGAAATGGTATTTTAATTATACGAGATTTATTATTTGACTCACTTTTTTGCCTTGGATGGCGATGAATATCTTCTTCTATTAATTCGTTTTCTAAACCACATTTCTCCACAATCGATTTTATTACCTCTTTTTCTTCGATATTCTCTGGTACCTTCTCCAACAATGCCCTCTTCGATTTTTCTTCTATAATTTCTCTATCTAACATTGCAGCATTGACATTTCGAATAATAAGGTCAGGTGGACAGCCCATGGCGAAATAGTATTTGTTGTCTGTGGTGTGAAATCTGTTGTAAGATTAGAATTTTGTCCAAAATTTTGTTGTTTTAATGATGCAACAACTGAATGTACAAGTTTTTCTAGCTTATCAAGACGTTTTTCTAATCGAGCTAATGGTTGTTCATTATCAGAATTATTTTCCGGAATAATTTGAAGCAGAAGATTTTCAATTTTTTAAAACGTTGTTCAAAATTTCTAAATACTGAATTACGAGAAGTTGTTGGAGTTGAAGTTGTTTGTTTAACCATTTTTTTTTAATTTGTAAAATCTCAAATTATTGGGTAATAACCCAATTTTTTACGCGAAAATTCAATATTTTTCCTATTTATTAAATTGTAATTATTGATTATTGCATGTTACATGCCTAGGGACTATTCATTATCATCTTAAATTTATCTTTTAACATTCATAATACATTCATAATATTCATAATATATAATTTTTCCAATTTCAGTAATTCTAGCTTCTTTTTGAGATTGAGTATAAGTCGGGATTACATTTAAGGCTCATTTGCTTAAATTTGTCAAATTTATATTATTTTTATCAAAATATCAACTAATTATTAATATTTTGCTATATAGATTAGTTCGTTGTCGATCTACCGTTGACTTTTAGGTCAGTATGTTGATTTTTGTTTAATTAATCAAATTAGCTTCATAACTATGTGTTTAGCTAGATCTATTTATTATCATTCACAAAATTAATATATGTAAATTATGTCCAAACATCAGTTAATTATGAATGAAGTATTATCTTGATAAGTTTATAAGCATTCCTAATTAAAATTTTTATTTAAATGTGATTAGAAATGCTTTAGCAAAAGCTGACGTTTAAATTCTTATTATACAAATTATATTTGAGTACATTATCTTTTTGATACACGAAAAGATTTATTTCAATAATTTATAAAAATAAAATTTTATAAACTTGTTTTTATAAATTAATATAAGCAAAGATGCATAATAATTATTTTTTAAAGCAAAATTTGAAACCTACCAGAGCATCATCATTGGCGGATGAGCAGCAGTTTGATAAGTATTTTATAGTCCTGAAGAGGACTCTTTGCCATTATTCTGCGCAATTATTCTTTTTTTTAAAATTTTTATATTAATTATAATAATTTTGTAATTTGATTTCTATTTTTATATTCGAAACATATCTCAGCTCTGCTTTTATATTTTTAGTAGTGCAATGAATATTCATCTTCCCTTTTTTATCCTTTTGAAAATAGAAAATATATATTACTCCTAAGTTTTTATACTATTAGTATATTTATTTAATTAAAATCAGATTTATGTTAAGTTTTTCAAATATTTTGACATTATTTTAAATCTTAATATTTGGTTACCGAATACTAAATTTTTTATTAAAATTTATTAAAAATCACATCGACTAAAATTCTATAAAATGTAGTTTTTTTATGAATTTTTGTATGTATTTTCTGTTAGAATATATTTAATTATATTCAAAAGGAAGTTTACTCTATTTTGCAAAAAATTTAATCGTTTAAGTTATTGATATAAAACATTAAATGATTTTCTTTTACAAACTTTATTAATTTTCTTGTTATGATATAAAAAATATATATATTTCTCATTGGTTTTAATCTTCAATTTTGCATTTACCCTTGAAGATTTGCTCTTCTTCTTAATAAAACAAAGCACACAATCTAGATCATTCTGAAAATTTTAACGCTCCCAAAAAGTTGAAGCAGTTGATGTCTTCATTAAATTCAATAATATTTCTAGATTATGATTTGGAGTTCGAGACCTTTTCACCTTCTAAATTAGGCCATATATTATTATATTATTCATTTTAGTAAAGTCGTCTGAATTAGGCTCTTCTAAATTAATTTCCAAACTAGGCCCTCAAAATTATTTTCTCTCTGTATTTTTGACAGTATATCAAATTTATTTTAATATTATTTAGTTTAACTAAATATCAAATTTATAACAAATCTTTGGATATTATTTTACAGTGTTCATGTATTTTATTAAATTATTTAAATTTTAAAAACTAAGTTTAATTCTAAAAGCATTACGATTTAATTATTCTTCACTATTTTTTTCTAATATAAAACCTAATATAGTTGTTATCAAATGTCACGTAATCTTTTAAGTGTCTGTTTTCATATTAAATCAAAGGACTAATTTTGAAAAATAATATTTGAAATATTTCGATATAATACTTCTTTATTTAAAAAAGAGCATTTCATAAGTAAAAACATTATTTATATTTAAATTTCCTTAATTTTTATAATATCTTCAATATTTAAATCTCTTATATCTTCAGCATTAGTACGAACCTTATTAAAAATAAAAATTTAAAAAATTTGAACAAAATACATCAAATTTATTTAATAAGAAGTCATTTATTTATATATATATTTAGTATTTTCAAAATATATTTTTATATTTCTTGTTTATTATATGACAAATCAAATAATTAAATAACAAAAGTAACAAATCAAATACTTCTTCTATTACTAAAAATTTCTGATCCATATTTACCACCTCACATACTACTACAGATTTTATTTTAAAAAACAAGCTTATTAATTAAATATTATGGTATTCTGATCAAATTGATTATTATGATATAATTCTGTCAGAATTATAAAGTAAAATCTTCTTAAGTAAGTTTTTTATATGATTGATATTTTTATTTAACATAATTTAAAAAATATATGTATTCACATTCTTTTACTATCTCGTTCAAGCTTTCATCAAAATTAAATTAAATCTTCAAAAAATTTTCATTAAAACAATCAGCACATTAAAACAATCACACATTTATAAAACTAATAAATAGAAGCATTATTATTTTGACAATTTTATTATAAACTAAAACTAATCTTTTAGTTCTATCTATTTTATCTAATATTAAGAAAGTTTTTTTTATGAGAAAAATTTTTAAATTAAAAATTTTTTCTAATAAAAATATTATGAATGGCATAATTTTTTTGTTTATTAAGCATTTTTCATTATATATTTTTGTTTATCTTTGGTATATTCAAGTCAATACCATTGCTATTACATACTAAAAATTCTAATCATACAATAAAACGAAATGTCTTAGCAAAAATTGCGAAAAAGCTTTGATGAAGAAAATTGTTTTTATAAAAATATTAAAAAAAATGATGGAAAAAACACCTTAAAAATGCTAATAAATATTAAAAAATATCAAATGTATAAAATAATTTATTATAAAATTGAATTATGCTTCGCATTAACGTAGAGAGCTGGTTCAATGCTCATAATTTGCATTGAACCCTTAACGTTGGGGAAATAATGCTGCGTTTCGTTTGCTTTTATCCCATATATGGGCATAATGCATAATTTTTTGAAATTCGAGTGTTCAACAAAAACGTTAAAGTAAATTTAGCATCAGCGTAAAAATCAAAAATTGGTTGAGAATTATAATTGAATACATGATTTTCTTTTAAATTATTGAATAATATACATAGACACTTCTATGGCCAACCCACTCGATTGATTTCTTTTTATGTTTAATTTTTATTCACATTTTTTCCCAAATTTAACTATGAATTTATGTATATTTCGCTTTTAAAATTAAAATACATTAATTTGTAGAATTATTTAGAAAAATTATTTAATAATGTTTAATTAACAAAATTAAATTTTATTTTATATGCAATTTTATTAAAAATATTTTTAAGAAATTATTTATTTTTAATTTTCAATACTTCACAGAGTTTTATATTAAAAATTGAAAATTGGTAAATTTTAGAAATCTTTTTAATAAGTAGATAACTCCTTCACCATGTTTTTACGCATGAATACCTAAATGCTTAATTAGATAAATTAGGAAGTTAAAAATTAATAAATAATTAATTTTTGTGATATAATAACCATAATATAAAAATTATCAATACGTTATTGATCAGCATATGATGTTGAAAAATAATTTTATTTAATCCTATTGAGATTTAATCCATGTCTTGTGTAAAAGGAATTAAAATTAACTTTAAAATAGTAATTAAATCTTAAAACTGATTTACAGTATATATTCAGATTACAATATATATTCAGATTTTTCAAATTAGCGGAAATGTTTATATTTCTTAGCTTGTATTAAATAAAACGACCATGATATAATCTCATGATTGATTTTCCTTGATTAACTGTCAAGTTATCTAGATGAGGATTTTGTCGTTATGCTCAGGAAAGGAAATAAAGTAACAACCAAAATCTGTTTATCAGAATTTCTAAATTAAAAAATATCAAATAATTAATAAATTAAATATTACTGGCCTAAATAATGTTTTTAAATATAAATTAAATTTAATAATTAAAATCCCTATAATTATATTATTACAATATATTTAAGCCATAGCAACACTCATCCTTATACTTATAAATTATCACATACTACAAAATCAATTATCAATATTATAGATAAAGATAAATTTATATGTATAGATTATTATGAAGGTAGTGTTTTATCGATAATTTACGATTATTTTAAAATTTAATAGGTTAATAAATATTAAATTGATTCCAATAGGTAATACGCTTGCAAGTGAATAAACATGATAAAAAAATTAAACCTTTGTGATATCTGTCACTACATATGTTTTAATAAATTTTGTAAGACAAAAAAATAATTGACTAAATTCATAAAATAAATAATGCTTACGTATTTAAAATTAATTATAATAATTAAATGTTAAAATAAAAAAATTTTTTGTATAAATTTTTCAATGAATTTTTAACATAAAATGGTAAATATACAGAATAGCAAAAAGTGTAATGAAAAATAATAAAGATAATGAGCAAGCTAAGTCCGGTTCCTGGTAGATCAACCATGATCAACATGCTAGAAAAAAAAAATTTCGCGTAAAGTTTAAAATAAAATATCATTGATATAACAATAAAAATGATAGTATTAATTCCTTATTTTTTAAATATTAAAATTTATCGTATATAAATAGTGATCACTTTAAAGTGGAATGAAAGAAGGAATTTGGAAATTAAAAAATATTTCCAATTTGTG